AGAGAAGGCAGTTGCAAATTCACTTCAGGATCCAAACAGAACTTTTGCAGGTATGATCATTTCAAGGAAGTACCTCCACTCTCTCCTTTTTGGTGGGGAGTTGCAGAAGTTCAGTGCTGAGCTGCTTCTCTCCACACACCTTTCTTCACACGAGAAAGGCTTTGAAGGAGAGTAAAGCAAACAGAATCCTTGGCGAGGTATAAAGGAACAGGAAGCGATGCGGACAAAACCGCACCGATGGCCACAAAGAGCCGGACATTAGGGAATCGTTCTCAATTCACAGTAGTTGCACATAAACAAATAGCCCGACACGTTAAATGTCACAGGTTGCAGCGTTAACGAAGCGCGGAGCATCTGCAGCAGAACAAACACGGGACGCAACGCGGCAGCGCAGGGCAGCCACAGCGCCGAAGCCATCCCGTATTTCACAAGCCGCGGGCAAATCCGATTACCGGGATTAGCGCAGCAAAATGGCGGCGGCGCCCTCCCGCCTCGCGCCGGCGGGTCCCGCGCTGCAGGCCGCGCGCCGCTAGAGCCGGCACCTGTCAGTCCGCAGCGGCGGGACGCGCCGCCACCGCTCCGCGCCGCCGCCGCCCGCCCCCCGCCCTGGAAGACCCCGCAGGCGTGGTTCTAATCGCCATGTAGCTCAAAACAGTGAGTTGTTCTGCATTCCGCCGTGACGTTAGCGCTTAATCGTTTCTGTCGGTGCTGGGAGAAACCACGCTCTAAGTTAACGCGCGTCGCCGCTTTAGCTCGAGATGCGATTTAGTCCGAGTGCAGTTATTGCCCATAAACAGGAAGCGTCTTCGAGCTGTCTGCGGCTGAAGGGCTGCCAAGCGCCCGATGTTTCAGGAGGCTGTTTCACGACAGACAAGTGTACTGACGCGAAGCTGCCCGTCGCGAGCTGGCATCGTGCGTACCTGGTAGGAGCGGCGGGCCGTGCCCCGTGCCGCAGCCGCGCAGCCTTTTGCTCGCGGCCGCTGTAACCAGAAGAGGGCCCGGGGCTTCTGCGCGCGGCCAGCTCCACCGTGTGGGCAGCGCGGAGCCCCGCGGGCAGAGCGGCGCTGGCTGCTCGTTCCGGGCCGGGCGCGGGCGGCCGTCCTGCCGGAGACGGGGCTCCGCTCGGCTCTTATTACGGCGACGGCCATAACCGCGGGAGAAGCGCAAGGCTTCTCTGGACGCTCGTGAGGCTATAAGGCTGTTTTCGCTCTGAGGAGAAGCTGTCACAACACGTCTGGACTGGGAATTGAGGGAGTGCGTTAGGGGTGTAATAACGACGGAGAGTTACAAGGCCTTCGGAGTGGTTCCGGTGGCTGTGGAGACCTGCCCGTGCTCACGGTGCTGTACCCGAAGGTGCTCCTCTCCTGCCGTCCGAGTAACGAGGCAGAGGAAAGGGGCAGGCTGAAAATCTGATCTGAGGTCTGGAGCACGTACGAGGCTGCAACATATAGAGGGAGGAAGTATGACAGGGTAGGCCAGGGTGCAAGAATCAGGAGACTGAAATAGGAGCGTTATCGACGTGCTTATAGAAGTCATGGGTCACCGTTCAGATGTAGCACTAAGCTGCAAACCATTGCAAGCTATTAAGTATAATTAAGATAATCATTAAGATTTCAGTGCATGCTGGAGGCTGCTGGGAGAGTGAGGGGAGCCCGGTGTGGGTGGCCTTGTGTGCCATCTGCCCAGAGGGACCAGGGAAACAGAAACAGCCGTAAAAGTAATGGTTTGACATCAAGTACTGAACTAAAATTGCTGTATAAGTAGGGATCAGGATCGTAGAGCTGGGGAGCTACCTGTTTTTGTTTGCTTTTTGTTCTGTTTGCTCGGTTTTGATGCCTAGCCCTGTTTCTGCTGTAGAGCAAAACAGTGCCCTGTAAGGCAGTTGGAGCTGATGAATGGTCATCGCTGCTTGGGAGAACAGGAAACAAAACAGAGCTTGCCCTCAGAGTATGTTAGTAGCGTGGAATGGAGCTGCATGTAACACTAGTATGGTATGTTTCTATAGGACAAATATTAGAAGGCAGTAATATCTTCAGAATACCATGTTTGGGATTAAAAAACAGATAAACTCAAAAACTGTTATAACAGATTATCAAGCAGCTTGCTGTTTTTTATTTTCCCTAGGTACAGGCAACTGGCTCTACTGTTATACTGTTGATGCTGCCAGCTGGTCTGTCAAGTTTGGGGTCTGAAGGGGAGTAACAGAGTCTGTCTCCACATGTCACAGAGTGCACTTTCCTGACAGTAGATCTCAAAAGTTTAGCAAGAATTAAAAATAATATTCCTGGATTGCAACTTCGGTAGTAAAAATTTTCCTAATTGTTATAGTTGGTGTTTGTAGGCCTGAAAGATTTCTTGTGATCTCTTTGTTCACTTCAAAATAATATTGATATAAAAATCATCAGTAACTTCTTCCCTCTGCAGTGCCCATATGGAGCTTGCAGTTTGCAGTATCATCTATGAGACATAGCTAGCCATGTTTTTATTTGGGTGCACCCATCTCTGAACTGTCTGTTAACTTTTAGTACTGTTCATAGAACTGTCCTGTGACAATATTCTCTTGATGTCAGAAAAGGTAATGTTATCTTTCAGTAAACCCACTGACCAAGAGACACAGAGATCAGTCTTTTCCAATGAATTCTGTGTTTCTTGGTTACAGTAGCACTTCCTCAGAAATTGAAATGCTTTTCCTGTTTTTGCATAAACAGAATGTAAAGTATTCCTAAAATATTCCATTTGTGTGTGTGCTAGGTAGAGCATTCTGATTTTACAGCATTTTTGACAAATGGAAGAAGCAAGACAGGTAAAAGGAAGTAGAGAATCATTACAGGCATGAATAAATGGACTATTTGGGGATTGCTTAGTTTGAACATTTTAGTTGAACAAAAACCACTGGCTCTAAAACTGTATTTGCTCCAGAGTTTCCTGTATAACTTTACAGTGACATAGGTACCAGATGGTTTGGCTCACAGCAAAAAAAAAATTACTCATCCAAAAAGCAAGTGATGACTTCTGCTATCTTTACAAAAAGAATCTAGTTTGGTGTTTCACTGAGCATGCCTTTATATCCCTGATTCAGAGACAACAAAAGCTGTCAATCTGTAAACATGCAAGTAGAAAATTAAAATATTCACTTCTCTTTTTAGGAGGATAAATTTTGAAATATCTAGTTTTATAGTAAAACTTGTACACTGTATTACCCTAGTGCTTTTAGTAGGCCTTGCAGAAACATGTCTTGTAGTTAAAAAAAAAAAAAAAAAAAAAAAGTCTGATATATTTAGCAAACTGTGTGAGATGATATGTCTTTGAGCTAAAACCAGCTGTCTCCTCTACAGAAAAGCAAAAGCTCAGGCAAGATCCTACAGGATAATTCACCAGAAGGTAGAGCTGGCATCATTTATTTCGTATGCTCAGGAAATAACTCTATCAGTAGCTCCTGTTGTGAAATGTTTTTGATGTCTGACAGTTGGTTTTTAGTACTGTATCACATGAGCAAGTTAGATGTAATCTCTAACATTGTCAATGAGAAAAAAGAATCAATTATGCAGCAGTAGCTGCTGGCTTGAAAAGAAGTATTATTGTAGTATTCTTTCTGTCATAGACTTCATATGCTAGGAACTATTTACAATTACTTAAGGGGTTTCAGAAAGGAAATAACTACTCAGTTCCCATGAGCTTTATGTTATCACGCCAACTGAATAAATATTTCTTAGGTCAAATAAGTGTAATGAACAAACATGATAAGGAAACAGTGCATTTGCATTTACAGCTAGGGTGAGTGGCCAGATAATTAGAGTGAGTGACCAGATAATCAAAATAATACCAGTCTACGTTTCTCTCACAGTTACAGCAATGGAGTGATTTCTTGCTCTCTGTGGCATATATATAAGCATGGGTGGTGTTTTTTGAGAATTTGGAATTTGATTTTTCTGAAGTCTGTGCATTGAAAATTCTCAACTCTTGAACTGTCTTAGGAGTACCTCCCTGCTGGAAACACTGGCTGTGTTGTAAGGTACAAATGTTACTTCAGAGCTCCATCCTAGATGTACAAAATTATATCTTGTACAACTATATTGTGTTGTATGTGTTTTTTGTTATTTTTTACATGATTTGCAGTGAAATACGTGATGGATTTCTGAGGAACTATCCAAAATGTAACTAGACCAGCTAGAGCGAGAATATATGGCCCTTACATGAGCCTTGTTTTCAACAGAGGTTTACTTCTGAATATCTTGAGTGAGAGAGCCAGTGTATTCTCAGTCGTTGTTTGTTGTTTATGAAAACTTACCCTGCAACTGGAACTTTATTTCATATGATCTCAAATCTCTGTTTCAAATACCATCTTAATAAGATGATCAAATGCAGTTGTGTTTTAATGTCATTCTATGACAGCCTCAGAAAACAAAGCAGTTGTATCCACAGAATCACGGCAAGTCAACGTTCCCCATAACCACTGCCAAATACCTCAACCACGTGCTGGGGGAGTTTCCTCAAGGGTTCAGTGAGTCATTTATTGTGAATCTGGGCAGATACAGCTGCTGGCACAAATGAAAGCTGGCAGCTGTGGTTGCCAGTGAAAGGCACTAGGTGGGCGGCTAAGCCATGCAGTGCAGGGAAGATCACACGCCTCTTGCTGAGGAGCTACAGGTGTCCCTGCATCCTTGATCTGTGCAGAGGTATCTGTTGAGGCAGTAGCACAGCCAGAATAAAATGGGGAATGCAACTGATGGATGTGATGGTGCGTCTAAGATTGTAGTGTCAGTCAGATGGGAGAAAATAATTTCTACCTGGAGATGACTCTATATAAATAATCATCCTGATGTCCTGAGAAGCCAGGTTACTTTGATATCATTGGCACTCGTGAATCTAAGTAACTTCAACATGAAATGCTATGAGAAAAGTTGGTATGTTTAAAAAAAAAAAAAAAAAACTGTAAGAGAAATACAGAACTATAAATTTGATATGTAATTTAAATGAATCCTTTTTCTTTTTCATTGTAGATGACAGTCATGTCCCATTCAAAGGATCTCAAGGACGACTTCCATAGTGACACTGTACTTTCTATTTTAAATGAACAGCGCATTAGGGGTATTTTGTGTGATGTCACCATAATTGTGGAAGACACCAAATTTAAAGCCCACAGTAATGTGCTAGCAGCTTCAAGTCTTTACTTTAAAAACATATTTTGGAGTCGTACTATCTGTATTTCAGGTCATGTACTGGAATTAGATGATCTCAAAGCTGAAGTGTTTACAGAAATACTGAACTACATCTACAGTTCCACAGTGGTTGTTAAGAGGCAGGAGACTGTAACAGACCTTGCAGCTGCAGGGAAAAAACTGGGGATATCGTTTCTTGAAGATCTTACAGATGTTAACTTTTCAAGCTCCCCCTGCCCTTATGCATATTGTGTTAGCGAGAAAGGGACTGTCAAAGAGGAAAAACATGAAAAGAGACATGAAGACTCAGCTGTGACAAATGGACCACGAATTACAAATGCATTCTCAATTTTTGAAACTGAAAATAGTTTGTTTTCTCCACTTGATTTGAGGGCAAACTTTAAAAAAGTATCTGAGACAATACAAACCCCCAACGTCAGCCTTGACAGAAGCAACATTTGCAAAGATGCAGAGCCAGCCAGTACATTGGCAGAGCACTCCTACGCTGTTTCTTCAGGGGGAGATACTTTTCAAGGAACGCCTCACATTGAACAGGAAAGCAGCTCTTCATACAATGCAGGTGAAGACCACTATGAAAATGTCCGAGCTACACCACTCATTCAACCAGTAAAACAAGCATCGAGTACTACTCCTAAAGCAGCCTTCAAGCCCCAGTGTAGTAGTTTGGCTGTAGCAAAAGTACCAGCCTCTACAGTAGCCAATGCAGAAGCCCAGCCTGAAACTGTTAATGATCAGAGAATTATTTCCATTCCAAAACCCCAGAATAAAGCAGGAGATCTCAGTTTGTCCAGAGAAGAAGAAAACACATCTGCTAATGTCTCTGGATCTGTGACAACTGTCGTTCCACCTGCTTACAGCTGTAACTGCTGTGCAAAATCGTTCAGTGACAGGGCGTTACTCAGTACTCATCTTCAACTCCATTCAGAGCATCAGGAAACTTTCATATGCAAATACTGCAGCAAACAATTTGCAAATCTAAATATACTGGAAAGTCATGAACAAGTCTGTATGAGATCAAGTAGCTTATCTGTTCACAGTGGCAATGAACAAAATTTTTCAGATAATTATACTGCTACGGATGGAAGGAATGAGAGTTCATATGCAAACACAGAGTCTCTATTGTCTGAAAACAGCATAACTGATTATTCTAATGCAAACTGTGCTTTACCAGAAACGGATCACTTGGTTAAAGTTGTTGATGGGCAGATATTATATACTTGCATAGTTTGCAAACGTAGTTATGTGACGTTGTCGAGCCTTCGAAGACATGCAAATGTGCATTCATGGAGAAGAACATACCCGTGTCACTACTGCAACAAAGTATTTGCATTAGCTGAGTATCGCACAAGACATGAGATCTGGCACACTGGAGAAAGGCGGTATCAGTGCATTTTCTGCCTAGAGACTTTCATGACTTATTATATACTAAAAAATCATCAGAAGTCTTTTCATGCAATTGACCATCGTCTCTCAGTAAGTAAGAAGACAGCCAATGGAGGCTTAAAACCAAGCGTGTACCCATACAAACTTTACCGACTTCTGCCCATGAAGTGCAGGCGACTACCTTATAAGTCCTACCGAAATTCTACGTATGAAAACGTTCAAACAAGTAGCCAAGTTAATGAAACTGCTTCTAGTAACTGCTTCATTCAGAGTTCTCTTAGTTCTGAGCTACCACCGCTGAATTTTCAAAGTAATATATTATCAAACAACAGAACTCTTGTTTTGGACACTTCTTCATGTAAGGATACAGCATCTTCCACAAATCCTCAGAACTCTTCCTCCTGGGGAGTAGGTATCTTAAATTCTGATATGCAAAGAGACTTCTTCACAGCTGACAAAAGAGTTCCCACTGCTACAAAAGACTCTGGTTCGCACGAGTACGATTCCTCAGTTGTGTCTTTAACTAATGTGAATGAAAATTCAACCTCTGTAATCAGTTACAGCAGTTCTGCACCCTCTGTTATAATGCACAGTAGCAGAGTTTCATCAGTAATAATGCACAGTAAAACAATCACTTCTGTAGAAAACAGTAAGACAGAATCTTCTAATAGTGTACCTAGTCAACCTGTAAGTGATGATTGTAAGTATGGGTCAGATAATTATGGAAAATGTATTACAAAATCAAAACCTATTAAGGAGAAAAAGAAAGCACTGCTGTGCAACAGAGCAGAAGCAGCTGAGGATACGCAGCACATCCAAGGATCTGGAAGTTCATCTAGCAAAACCACTAATACTGCTGAAGAGTCGAGTAAAACTGAGACATATATTGCAAAGCCTGCCTTACCTGGAACATCTACTGACAGCAATGTTGCTCCTCTTTGTCAAATAACAGTAAAAATCGGTAACGAGGCTATTGTAAAAAGGCATATATTAGGATCTAAGCTATTTTGTAAAAGGGGACGAAAGTCTAAACACGAGTCCAAACAGGACAATCTAAATGAGGAGTCAGAAGTGGAGATAAAAGAGAAAAGCCCATCGAGGCTCTACAGCTCAGAATGCCTGGAGCTGACAGAAATGTGTGATGATGTAAGTGATCAGGATTCCAGTGATAAACCCTGGAGACCATATTACAATTACAAACCGAAAAAGAAATCTAAACAGCTAAGAAAAATGAAGAAGACCAAATGGAGGAAAAAGCATGGAAACAGGAACACCATTATGGAAAGTCACAGTCCGTGCAGTCGAGAGTACGCACTCAGGAGTGCTCCTGAAGACAAGGCAATTAGTCAAGAGGAGAACACAGAAATGCCCAGTCTTCATTGTGAGCTCTGTGAAGGAGATCAGAACTCCACTACAGAAACTCAAGAACATGTACATTGGCATGTATCTACTTCAAAGCCTTACATTTGTGAATTATGCCAAAAACAATTTCAAAGTCCATCCACCTTAAAAATGCATATGAGGTGTCACACAGGGGAAAAACCCTTCACCTGCAAAACCTGTGGTAAATGTTTTTCAGTCCCTGGAAATTTACAGAAACATGAACGTATTCATCTGGGTGTCAAAGACTTTGTCTGTCAGTACTGTAATAAGGCATTCACTTTAAATGAAACACTCAAAATACATGAAAGAATTCATACTGGAGAAAAACGCTACCACTGTCAGTTCTGCTTACAGAGTTTCCTGTATCTTTCTACCAAAAGGAACCATGAGCAAAGACATATACGTGAGCATAATGGAAAAGGATATGCTTGCTTTCAGTGCCCCAAAATTTGCAAGACGGCAGCTGCTCTGGGAATGCACCAGAAGAAACATCTATTCAAAAGTACGGGTCCACCAGATAGAAAAGAACAGTTCTGCAATGAAAGTGCTCAGCTGTTGGAAAATCAACATTTCCTTGGCTCAGAAGGAAGTGAAGGGAAAACCATACGAAGTGTAACTCCAGAAGTTACACTCTGAGTGACAGTTGTGCAAAAGAGAAGAAAAATACAAAACTATATGTTGGAGAAAATGTAGATTGATTGAATGGGGAAAATTCTCCGCAGAGATAATTTACGAAGATCAAATGTCTTCATTTAAACATATGTCAATATATGCAAAGGAAAGAAAAATAACACTGAAAAGAAAAACTAGTATTTGCAATAATACAAACTTAATTTGAAAGACCCCAAATAGTTCTGCCAGAATAGACTTCTAGCATTCATGTAAAGAGAAAGAAGAAGAAAAAAAAAGAATAATAAAAAAGACCAACTAAACTCCTCCTACTTAAAGCTAGAAGAAACTAGCCACTGAACTGTTCTACAGTGCTGTTTTTCAGTCAGAATCGTTCTGGACAAAATAAATATGTAGGTTCAAATTATATACTATAGAAGGAATTTTTGCTGCAGAAATCATATGTCGCTTTTTTTTTTTTAAACAAAAGTTAATGTGTTTATAAACAAATCGTGATTTAGTGTATTCTACAGTGAAGATGGGCAGTGTTTCATCAGTTTGGGTATGCTGAAGTACAATTGAGTTTTGGAGTGCTTTTCTGTAACTCAACATTTACAAAACATACACAGAAGTATAAACCTTTTTTCCTTTCCATTTTCGGTTTTGTAGTTACCATAATATGCATTAAGTCTCTGAATGCTTGTGCAGACAGTATGCCAGATTAGAGACATCTCTGAAATGTTTAATAAAGATTCAGTGCAAATCATAGTAGCCAGTCTTCCAAACGGCAGAAGTTCCAAATGATTGAACTGTAAAGTTATTCAGTTCATGTGTTGAAAGAAAATTGTTCTCATGAAGTAGTATAGTTTGAAGAACTCTGTAAGTGTCCACCTTCTGGTGAGTCTGAAACTCCTGTCTTTTAGAAATATCATTCTTCTCAGCAGAAGAAGAGGAGATAAGAGGGTCTTCCTCCACATCTTGGTGTAATGCCTGGACAACAAATGACAGTGCAGCTCACAGAAAATGCTTTGATTTGTGGGAGGAAGAGGTAAATAATCAGATTCTTGCTTCCATGTATATCCCTGAGGCAGTTTCCGTATATAACAGGGATAGGGCCAATTTGTGGGGTTCCTTGTCATCCCTGTGCCTTAAATGCAATATTAGTACTTTGTATGTCTCAGCATCTCACCCCAGGCAAGCTTCATCTCAGTGTCCTTTGGCCAAGCACAGTAGGCCCAGAGCAGAGAAGTGCCAGCATCGGGTTGCTGGAAGAAGCCACGTTGGCCTTTCTGCTTCCCTTCTTCTGCTGCACCAGAATGTTACAGTGAGCCTTCTGGCTGCACAGTTTGCATTCACCAGGAATCAGGAGGGTAAGCTTCTGAAAGAAGACATCACCGAAATTAACAGTACAGTTAATCACATTTTCACAAAATAGTGTTAATTTTAACCAAAATGAAGAGGTCAAATGTCTACAAGTTGCATATTATATCATAGGGCTCTGTTGTACTCTATCTGCACTTCCAATTTGTTATGTACATTCATTGTTACAAAGTGTTAAAAATGTTTTAAGTCTGGACAATGGTCAGTGAACCTCAATTTAATTCTATGTGCAAATATGGTACATGATTTGTTTACTTGGTTTTCCAAAATATTCTAAAGGAAATTATAGCTTGGGTATGAGAAAATTACAATTGAAATTATAGTACAGTATTGATTGAAGTAATAATGTAGTCCACTTATTTATCCTGTCATTGATGAATGCTGTGAACCCTCTGAGAAATGTTTGGTTTCATAGCAGTTTTGGTTCCATTTTCAATTAGGATAATAGTAGGATAAACACAGGAAAGTATGATGATGTTTCAAAGAAAGTACACGAAGATATTTTCTAAGTGGACTTGTATGATGATAATTATAGACCAAAGCAAATAAGGTAGAATATTTATACGTATAAAGATAATTTTACAGATATTTTATATAACTGTATAGTTCATAAGAAAAATATTGATAGCTTGTGTTAGGTTTGGGGGGGGGTTTGTATATTTTGATAAAAACACAATGACTTTGTAACTCTGTATATTATCTACAGTTTATAGCAAAGGAGTTTTAAGATGGCAATGTCATGTTTATAGTTCAATTGTGGCACTTTTACTACAAGTAACACATTGAAGTAATGAGTTAAGTATTAATGACCAAATTAGAATCAAAATAAGTGTAAGAGAAAGTAAATACTGTACGTTGTCAAAGACTGTAATTTGCTGCATCTGTATTTTTGTTTAGAAGAAAATATTAAATGCAGATGTTAAGGATTGATAAAGAGTCTAATTTTATTTTTAGAGAAAGTTATTATAACTGTTTTTGCTTGATTAAAATAACCTCTTCCTATTTTTCTGTAAGTCTCCATTTTTTAAATTAATACTTAATCTCTACAGACAAGAGAGATGTATCTTCCACCATATGTTTAATTATAAGATTAAGCAACACAGTTACTGAACACTCCCTCTGTTAAAGTCAGAACAGCGAGTTGGGAACACGCCAGAACTCAAGGGAAGTGACAGCATCTGCTGGCATCGTGCAGTAATGGTGAACACTGTGCTGAGGTGAACAGAATCCACCTGTTCGGTACCTTAAAGGAGTGGAAGACAGGTAAACTGTGTTTAATGCTTTGCAACATCTTAAACCTGTTTTCATGATGACCCAAAACTTTAAAAATCTTACTCAAAATTAAATTCTGATAGCATCCTTGTGGTATAGATTGTGTATTTTACGTTACGCACTTCCAAGCACTTGGGAATACTGCCAATATGCATGGTTTCTTAATTGCATAAGAGAACATGAAGATATGAACAAAATAGAAAACTCTGTAGTCAAAGTACTTCCCCCTTCAGCTAGAAAAACTTAAATTCAGCATTTAAATTTAAGCTAAATTATTTAAAGCATATTGGGATGGTCCTCAGTAGAGATGCATACTTAGACAAAGAAAATCAGAAGTTGGCTACATATATATTTTTTTCTGTCTTATTTTAAAAAAACTAAGTAACAGTTACTTCAAAGAAAGGTGATGTTAAGTTAAAGTGAACTCCAGCTGTCATGTAACCTTCAAGGGTGTTATGGAAGAACTAAAGTCTCATATCTATGTCAAAATTGTTGCAACACAGCTAACCATTCCTCTTCCTTCTCTGATCAGGAGTTTTCCATCCCAAAGCTCTCAATTCTGAGCCTGGGCTCACCACCCACAGGTCAGACAAAGCAGACAACCTACTGGAAGCCAGGTGTAGATAATCAAATCCCTCAATTTGAGCTATTGAGGAAGCTGTCACTTCTAGCAGGTAAAAATCAGCTTATGTAAACCCATGTCTTTGTGCAAGTTTCTGTTTTGCATGCATACAAATTCCCACATTATGGTATGATGAAGCAGCTCATTGTCCCCTGAGCCGCTCCTGCCACTTTTCTCTCTTTTCCTTTAACCTGATACGGAGTGTGGGAATGAAGAGGGAATTTCACAGCTGCTGGAAAACCACCAAGCAATGGGGCTGATGTTTGTCTGACAGCCAAATTCCAGGGCTCTGCAGCATATAATAATGGTGAGATTCATTGGGAGAAATGAATGGTCATGGAATCACAGTGGAAGACTCCAATTAGAGGCAAATAATAAATGCTTCCTTGAAACTTTCTAAGCTTTCCTTTAGCAGACTGAAGAGCCTAAGGTGAAAAACCGTAGTCCCCTACTAACTTTCTAAAGGAGCCTTTTCCTTGATGCCCAGCTGAATGACCTCTTTGCCGTAGGACTACAGCCACTGCAGGGTTTTGTCAGAACTTGTGCCTGCAGAGCCTAAAGCTGCTGCACCTTCAGTGCTGCAGTCCCACTGGACTGTTCTGCACCCGGAGCTGCAGCTGGGCAGAATGTGGAGCCCAGGCAGAACCCGCCACGGGTGCTGGGACCGGGGCTCATTCCAGATGGCAGTGAGATCCCAGGGTTTCAGATAAGGATCCATAGCTTCAGGAAACATTAATGTAAACTGTAGTGAAAATTAATTCTTGATGAGGGTAGGCTGAAGCGCTTGTAGTCTGCCACAGAATCATGAAGGTTGGAAAAGACCTTTAAGATCATCCGGTCTCACCATCCGCCTGCCACTACTACTGCTCGCTAACCCGCGTCCTCAGCGCCATCTACCTGAACGCCTCTGGGGACGGTGACTCCACAGGCAGCCTGTCCCAGTGCCTGAGGTGCACGCAGAGGCGAACGAGCAGAAGCCCAGCATTGCCGTCAGGCACCCGCCTGGAGCCGGGTGCTGCAGCACACCGAGACCGAAGCAGCACGCCGTGACGGCTGCAGAACGCGGTATCAGCGTGACGAGTACGGGCGTCCAACACGCTTCGCGTCTACAACTTCTGTCTCCTGTGGAAGTAACACGGGACAACGCCGAGCAGAGCCCCGGCGGGCAGTCGCAGCGGTCCCGTCAAGCGCACGCCCCTCACACGGCAAAGGGGCGGAACGCGGGCGGGGCGGCGTCACCCGCCGAGGGCTGCCGGGAGACCGACCGAGTGCGCGCGCGCGCTGCTGCCGCGCGCCGCTCTGTGGCGCCCCCCGAGGGCGGCGGAAGGCGGGGCGGGGCGGGCGGAGGGCGGGCGTTGGGGCCGCTCCTTCCTCCTCGCTCCTCCCCCGGCCCGCAGTGCGCAGGCGGCGGCGCTGGCGCGATGGCGGCCCAGGACGGCGGCGACGAGGTGCGGGTGCTGCAGAGCCTCCGGGGCAAGATTTGTAAGTGCGGGCGGTGCGGGCCGGGCCGCGGCGGGGCCCGCGAGGGTCTGGCGGGCGGGCGGGCGCTGTGCCGGGCCGAGGTGCCGCCGCCGCGCCTGCTCCTTCCTCGCGGCGGGGCGGGCGGCATCGCCTCACGGCAGCGCGGGGAGCCCCGGGGCGGGGGCGGCGCGATGGCGGCGGGAGCGCGTTGTGTGCGGGCGGGCGGGGCGCCGCGCGCCGTGGGCCGGCACGTGCCGGGGCGGCGGGAGCGCCGCGGGTCTCGGGAGTCGTCCGCCGCCGTGAGGGCGGACCGGCGGGGGGAGCGGCGCGTCCTGCGCTGCGGGCCCCGCACCGCTGTTTGTCAAGCGGCGGTTGCGAAACTATCGATGTTCAGGAAGTCGGTGGTGGAGGGGCGTTCTGCAGCCGCCGTCGGCGCTTCTGCGTCGTCGTGTCGCGTTGTGGGTGAGAGCGGCCGGTGACTTTGTTTTGGTGGTTGGGGAGCGCTGACTAAAAACGCCCCGCGTTCCGCACCACGGGAAGCCGGGCGGTGAGCACGCGGCGGGAGGGACGGCGCTGCGGCTGCTCGGGGCGCGGAGGAACAGGATGTGAGCGCTTCCTGCGGCTCGGCCCGCGCCCATTCAGCGCCTTTCTCACGCGGCCCCTCGGCCGTTTTGAGAATGGGACGACGCGGGTCGGCTTCGGCTGCGGCGGGGATCGAGGGGCGGCGGTGCGCGGCCGCCGAACGGCGCGCGTGGCTGCGGCGCCGAGGCGCGCTTTGAAACGCCGCGCCGTGCGGAGGCGAGGATTTGCCGGCAGCGAGCGAGGCGGCCGTCGGGACGGCGGGCTGAGTTCGTCGCGGCCGGAGGGCCTCGAGCCGCAGCGGCGGGTGCGGGCGGTGCCCGTGCGGCTGGCGGCGCCGGGCGAGGCTTCCCCAGACCCTGCTGGTAGCGGGGAACTAACGCGGGCCGGTTTTGGGACGGGCCGAAGCTGACGCGTTGACTGATGCTGCTCTGCTTCTTGACTTCTGCCCTAGAGTCGCAAAATGGATTGGGTTGAGTTCCTACTCCCCTGCCGTGTGCGGGGCTGCCGGCTGCTAGATCCAGGCACCGGCTCGGGCTGCTCAGGCCCGTCCAGCCTGGCCTGAGCACCTCCTGCGATGGGGAATCCAAAACCTCTCTGGACGGCAGTGCCAGCTTCAGGGTTGGGTCAGCAGCTGGCAGTGCAGTAATTCAGGGAGTTTGTGTTCCGTGACGTTGAACTGAACACAAGTATTGTGTTAGGCATTAGAAGGTGAACCCCCAGATTTCTCAAAACACTTGGAACTGCTTTTATTGACCTGTTCAAGTGTGCTGCATGGTGCCTACAGTTACAGAGTCACTTTGAATGTTGCCACAATCAACAACATGGTAAAGGCTATGGCAAGCTGAAGGCGGTGCACCTTCATGTGTGGGGAGCACTGCGAATAGCTCATGGGTGTCCCAGCTCCTCCTTACTGTCTGGTGCTTGATCACTGTTAGCTCTGCGTTACTGTCACACTGTGCATCTTTTGAGCAAATGATGTGCAGGACAAGGTTTGTCTGAGCAGTGGGATTTAGTGACTTGCTGTTACAACTAATGTGCAACATGAAAGTAATATGCAAAGTTCAAACTTAAATATTGTGTATCCAAATTCCTGTCGCTTTAACACTGAGTTTTTATTAGAATCACAGCTTTTCTCTTTTGCTTAGGCTCTTACTTTGAAGTAAGGGTTTACAACGTAGTTGTGCAGAGAACCCAATACAGACTTTAAAATCCAAACCATACTGTATAGTCGATAAAAGTTAGTTTATTACTGTCATTTTTTGTTGTTTTCCCCAAGGAGGTTGTTGAACTGGTCGGTAGTAGTTATGAACTTGCCTTTTCAGAATAAAAGGGTCAGTGTTTGTTATTAGTGATGCATTTTGTACTTTGTGCTGCTGGATTGGGCTATGAAGTATGGTGTGAAAACAGCTGTTGTCCTAAATGAGGTTGGTGTCTGAAACTGCTGGGTTGATGCAGTTGCTAAGAAATAAGTTGGCCTTATTGCTGCTTTTGGTCACTTGTGTGTTTTGCTGCTGGAACCACAGGTTTAAATATTGTGCTGTACAGTTTTAAATGACAGACACTGAAAAGCCTTGGATAGAGTTCTACAGCTGCAGGCAAACATGCATCTCTTATCTCCCCAGAAAGCTTTCTGAGATGGTTCTCACTGACCAACCTTACTGCCTGCATTTTTGAACACCGCTTTGGAAGGCACTGGTGTACATCTCCATGACATCCTTCTCACTTACCTTCTTGCCCTCTATTTTTTTGAATTGTGGGACTTGCAATGTCTTGACGTTGCTGCTGTTGTTGTTGTTCAGAATTGTGTATTTGCTGAATAAACTGGAAATCCAAAAATTCAAGCAAATATCTGATATTATTCATACATAATTTTTATTTTTTATTTTTGATCTGTACTGCTGGAAGTTCTCTCCCAGTTGTAAATGTTAGGAGGTTTTTGGGAAAATGTAACAGCTGTGTGCTTTACCTGATAGGTGAGCTGCAGATCCTCGGC